ACTCTTTCACACTACAAGAAGTAAACAGGAGGAAGGGTCAGTGACTTGAAATAAAAGCTTCAAAATCTATAATACACACATGGGAACACCTGACCACAGATGGCCAAAGAAAGTCTCCGGTGAGCCACAGCACCAGGTGGTTTTTCCAAGCCCTCTGCACCAGCACACAAAATTCATCTTGCCCTCTCCCCGCAGTGCTGGGCTTGCCTGCCCCTGTGCAGGCCTTGCCCCTACCAGTTTTGTGGAGGGCAGTGTGTGGCACCAGCAATCCTTCAGTATCAAGGCCACAGTGGAGCATTAGCCTGGTCACATGCGCTCTGCTCGCTCAGCCCCCAATATGATCAGTTCTCCCCACCCAGGCTCCTAGCCCAGGGCTGTCTGCACCCCCCTCTTGCAAACAAAATACCAGTCTGGTGGGTCACAACCCCCTAGAGCTGGCCTAAGAGAGAACAGCTTACTACTGCTGGCAGGCAAAGGACACAGATGTTCTGCTCAAGCTGCCATGAGCCCCATTTCCCCCACAGTTGGCAGCAGCCCCAGCTGAGTACATGTATATAATATTTTTAAAACTCTTATCGGGGAAGCAAGGTGAAGAGCCATAATCATGCCCTATTTATTGAGCTGCTGCGGAGAAGGAGAGAAGAGATTGTAATCCTGAAACAGAAGAGCCTGGACGTGACTAGAAAGGAAAGCACAAGGGAGAAACAGAGATGAAGAGAAAAAAAAGCAAGTCCAGAAATCTGTCATCTCCAGAATTCCCCCCAGCCCTTCAGCCCTAGCATGGAGAAGAGGGAAGCATCTTTGGATGGGGAAGGGAGAAGCTATGCTCTCAGGATGTCTCATAACTCCATCCTCTTGGCAGAGGTCTAGGTCCAGAAGCTGTCTGCTTATCCCTGGATAAACCCAGGTAACTCCGCTAAAGCTGGTGGAGTCACTGCTCCAGGATTACACTCACCAATGTGGAAGGAAATGGAGTCAGCCCAACCACCTGCTGCGTGCAGGAGGGAGGGTGGGATTTGGGAGAGCAAAGGGCAGGTGTCTGGGGAGGCTCATGCTAGAGCTGGGATGTGTTGGCAGTGCTCAGAGCACAACCTGGTTGGGGCTGGGGTTGGAGGCAAAACCAGGGGAGGTAGTGATAGCACTGGGCTTTCCAACACTGTCCCTTCCCCATCCCAAGCTGAGCCCGCAGGCCTCTTCCTCCTGTACCCTGAAGGGTTGGTGGCTCAGAGCCAAGATCCTGCTGGAAGATCAACCCTGGTCTGGCTGGGGGAGGAGAGATGCACAATAACCCATGTCTTGGGAGAAAGCACATGAGAGATGCACTAGAACCAGACTGGGATGGTCCCCCTGAGGGGCGAGCTGCACTGGGACAGTGCCCAGCAGGCTTGGCCACAAAGGACTGCAAGCCCCTCAGGCTCTGGAACAGCCTAGTCAGGTTGGCAGCAAGCAAGGAGCTCAAGTGTCCTTTGGCATCCCCAGCAGCCTCTCTGCCAGATAGCAGCCCCTTGGTTATCATTGCCATGCCCTGATTCGTCCTGCCTGTGTAGCTCGGGGGAGAGAGAACACGTGTGTGCATTCCCTGAAAATGAATGGGTCTGCCACTGCGGCTTGCAGCACGAGGGCACCCTGGTTCCCAGCTGGCACCTGTGAGAACAGGCATGAGCAGTTGTGCGGTCAAATGCTCCTTCCATCTGCAGCAGGGAGAAACCTTCAAGGACAGCCCTTGTCCCTCAGCCTGCCACTGACTTGGCCTCCCCCTCTGTGGCCACTGGGGAAGCTGCCCCCCAAAGCTGGCAGCCCAGGGTGCAAACCTGCTTGCCAAGTGTCTGGAAATTTGCTGTGCTTCTCCATCACCATTCGCTTCCTCCTGCACAGTCCTACCTAGCTCCCACCAGCACAAGCTGTGTAAGCAAGCCCCAGCATCTGTATGTGCTGCGGGCATGGATCTAGCACCCGAGCAGTGCAGGGGAAGGAAGAGGTCTCACTGGATCCCTCTGCACTGAGTGGAGTTGTGTTGTCACGCAGCTGGCTAATGCCACTCTACCCTGGCTGCCAGCCCAGCCATGAGCATGGCTTCTGGCTTGGCAAGCCACCTTCCTGACCCCCCCACGGCTGCCAAGACTCCCCAGCACCAAGCTACATGCGGAGAAGGCTGCCCATGCCCATGTCAGCCCTCCCCCTAGCCAGCACAGGGGTGCAGGTCACGAGTGTCCCGTCCCCAGGTTCCCCCACCTTACCCAGGGGGCAGAGAGGAAGCTGTGTCTGTGCACACCTGGAGAGCAGCTGCCTGGGGACAGCCACCGACACAGATCTAGCTTTCCGTACCCCAACCAGGATTAGCCAGATTCGCCCACCCTGTCCCCCACTCAAACTCATGCCACCAGGCTTTGCCAGCCAGCCAGCCAAATGTCACTAGAGGTCAGGGGAAATAGCAGAGAGCGCCAGCTGTGTTGCTGACTCAGCAGGGAGTGCAGGCAGAGCTCAAGCTGTGCGGGGTAGAGAGAGAGGGGTCCAGATTCAAGCAAATCAAGACCTCGTGCTCTCCCCCTGGGAGTCAAGCAGAGCCCCAAGGAACAGCTGCAAGTGGGGGCTGGGAAAGGCTGTGACACTGAAGGGACAGGCCATCCCAACAGGCTCAGAAGAGGCCCAGGGCAGCCCAGAAGTCCCTGCCTGCGGGACTGGCTCTGGAGCTTTGCAGACAAAGGGGCACTGAGGCAGGAGGAGCCAAGAATACACATCACATTGGGCAGAGCAGGGGTGAAGCCCCCCCAGAGCCCACAGCCCCCCTGCATGGGTACAAGTGACAGCCAAGGGACAGGGGCAGGCGTGTCCCAGCCTCCACATCCTCCAACCCTGCCCCCGCCATGCCTCGTGCCAGCAGTCCGACCATGGCTTCTCTGATGTCTTGTTGCAATTTACCAGCCTGATTGGAATAATGGATTAATTAAATGTTTAAGACACTGCGGAGCTGGGAAGCACCACAGCAGGAGTAATTATTTCTCCAGCACTTGAAGTGGGCTCAACACCCGACGGGAAAGAAGAGACAACACCAAATCCTGCAGCCTGGGCAGACCCCCCCTCCTCTTAGTCTGCACCCTCAGGATCGGATGGTGCCATTGAACATTCACATCCAGGCCCAGCAAAGCCCTGCACGATGCCCACATGACCGGGAACGCTCGACCCCTGCTACACCCAGGAATACAAAGCCAGTCACTGCCGAGTCAGAGAGCAATGGTGACAGGCACAGAAGCTAATTACACCCGACCTGACTAATTAATGCCGACTTTCAGATTAAAACCTCCTTGCCAGTGTTCCATTTCAATTACCTAGTTGTTCCTCTTGCAAGAAAAAGGGAGGCTCGTGTGCCGGCATGGGGAAAAAGCAGCCGGGAAAAAAGAGAAAGGCTTGAAGGAGGAGGGAGCAACAAATCCTGTCATAGGCAAGATTCCTATCGACAAAATAATTAAACTGCACATTGGCTGCTCCCCCAGGCAGGGCTCCGAGCACAGCAAAGCCTTCCACAGCCCCATTTGTATTCCTGAAACTCGCAGGGTCTATGCTGAAGGCAGCTCTTGGCCTCCTCGTCAGGTAAATAAAGTCTCTATGAGAGAGGGAGAAAAGACAGAGACAGAGAGAGAGAGAGAGGTTTTTTTGCTTCCTTGCACACAGCTCACAAACCCTTTCTAGCAGCCTGCAGCTCACGAGCAGCCACCTTGCAGAGTGGACTAGACAGGGCGGCCCCCATTGCAGAGGGCATGGACGAAATGCAGCCACGGTCCCGGGGCTCAAGTCCACCCTGCACTGCATGAGCCACGCCGCAGAGCTTGAGAGAGGGGTTCACTGGTTCTCCACTTGAAGGGCCCCAGTATAACAGAACTGGGCCCCATGGCTGTCCTGCAGCTCAGGAAGAGGTGCAATAGTACCAGTAATCCATATGCACAGCCCAGGTCTCCAGTGGGTAGTGCCAGGCAACCCCTACCCAGCATGTTTCATCCACAGATCTCAGAGCATGGCTATCCCATGTCCCAGTAGAGGAAATGGAGCTCAGGAAACAGAGCCAAGTGCTTAGGTGACTTACCGGGGCACCTAAGCACCTGGGCACTGACCCAGCCCCAACCCCAGCCCAGTGCGAAGCCATCAGGCTGCATTGCGTCTCCATTTAACCTGACACCTTCCCGTCAGCTCCCCATACCAATGCCCCATTCCCCTGCTTATGCCACGTGTTAGGGTGAGGATGTGGACGCTCCATCACTAGAAGGTCTCAAGGACAAATCAGACAAACATCTGTCTGAGCTGGTTCAGATGGGACTGATCCTGCCTGGAGCAGGAGGGTGGGTTAGATCCAACCTCCTGAGGGCCCTGCTGGCTGGGTCTCAGCTGGGAAGAGGACCCAGAGACCTGACCCAGCAGGACACTGATGTGATGGTCTGCATGCCTGCTTGATGGTAGGTACATAAGTGCCTTGCAAGCCAAGGCCCAGGTCTCCTTCCTCCTGAAACAGAGCTAGCAGGCCACCCCCTCCCTAACACACCAATGCATACCAGTCCTCTTCCCCTGCTGTAGGGTAGCCATCAGTAGAGGATAACCAGACTGTCTTCTATGATACGAAACTGGACACCTTTATGTCCTCTATTTTTCTCTTGAAGAGAAAACTAGAGGACATAAAGGCGTCGAGTTTTGTATCAATAGAGGACGGAGTAGCAGAAAACCGGAATGTCCTCTATGATGGCCACCGTATGTAGGGCACATCTCAGCAGCGTGGCACACTCAGTTTCCATTCTTGGCCCTTTGCTGTCCCTCCCTGCTTGCTTCGGATCCTTTGAAAGAGGAGCAGATGCACCGCCAGCCCCCAGGCACTTTGCAGATCAAGACATCAAGATGCCCCGGCCGTGCACTGCTCTCAAGACTGCAGTATGCCAATATGAACACGTTTTTACTGGGAGAGAAGGCAGACAATTTCCATCAGGTTTTTCTTCTTCTTCTTGTTCTTAAGTCAGAATCCTCTGCAGTTCTAATTGACCAAGGGAGGAATGAGACCAGAATAGGAAGTGAACAAACAGGGAAAGCTGGTTAAACGCCCAGCCTCTGTGCAGTATCAGGTACAAGTGCTGTCCTAATTAAGCCCTTCTCTATCCAATCAATGGCTGTTCCATCTCGCCTTCCTCCCGACCAGCACATCTCACACTCCTCATGGGAGCATTTGCACCTGGTTAAGATCAGAGCCACTAGAAATGGGCCAGGGAGACAAGGCCCTGGCTTCACGAGTCAAGCAAGATGGTTGCTACCCTTTGATCTGACAACGTCAGTGGTACTCTGCATCCACCTACCACTGCCGGCCCTGTGGCAATTAGGCCGCCTCATAACTACGTATAGGAAAAAAAAATCTATAAGGCAACAATTAAAGCTGCAAGGACAAGCCCTCCAAAAGGGAGGAAATGCCAGATGGCAGATGGACAGCACAACCTTCATTCAGCCATCTTCTTGACAGGTGGTTTACCTAAAGGCCTGTGCCAAGTTGAATGCACAGAAGGGATGGTACTCACTCAGAGCACAGATCTTCAGGATGCCGTTATCCTCATTTTCTCAGCCTGCGGCTCCATGCCTCCTTAGCTGGACACTGTTCAAACCCCCCCTAAGGATGGAATTCCAGATCTCCTCGTGGGCTTCACCTTGCCGTGCCTCAGCAGAGCCTCAGAACGCTTTACTAATAGCATTGAATTCACTTACACAACCACATCTCTTGGAGGTGAGGGAAGGACATTATGCCCATTTCACAGACAGACAACTGAGGCACAGAAATTTCTCCCAGGTCTCATCATTGGAAATGGCTAAATGGTTCTGGCTAAAGTTTAGCTGGGAAAATCCGCTCAGGCTGTGGTAGAGACCAGCATGGGAAATATCACCCCAAGCAGTTAGTATGTGGCCAAGCTAGAGAAAGCAGTGCTCAGCCCTACTCATACTACTGCAGCCCAGGGGCTCATGCACAGGACCCGGGTCCATTTCAGCCCTGTGTGCAGATGGGTCTACCCAGCAGCTAGGACAAGGGCAATCTCTGGGCATTACCATGAGGCCAACAGGAGTGACATCAGTGAGCGAGGGTGTCCCGCAGTTCTGCCCAGAAGGAGCACTTCCAAGGCCTCAGCAGTGCTTGCTATTAGCATAATTTCAGAGCATAATTAAGTCACTTGATAAAAATCAGTCTCTCTACGTTACTACTGCTAGCAATGAGGGCGTTCAAATGTGGCCCTAGAGTTAATCTCTGAGGCACCCTCTGGGCCTTTCCACAGTACTGATTGCAAGGCCAGACTCATCTATTGATGAGGTCCCGCCGTCACTCGAGCATGTGGCACTTGCAGGGTCCTGTGCTCCAGCACGGAGAAAGCCAGTGCCGACACGCTTCCTGAACTGCCTGCCTAGCTCTGCTCAGAAGGTGCAGAGATCCTGTCTAAGCCCTGGCACCTTGATGTTACAAAGTGGAGCGCCAGCTCCCAGCTCCGGTGCCTGCCTTCAGGTGCCCTGACAGATTTCAAAGGTGCTACAAAGCCCGCCTGCTGTGGGCCTGGGAGAATGAGCTCGTTAACTGCATACAGATGGCAGCGCTTCAGTGCGTACCCCGAGCTCCTATGTTCACCGCTAAGCCTTTGTGCATCACTGAAGTCTCATGGCTGCTGTATGCAGAAACCTCGCATTATCACACCTAGAATGGACAGAGGCTCCCAAAGCAAAGGGATGAGCCCCTGAATAAAACAGCATGTCCCAAACACTTGCCTGCTTCTTCAACGATAATCCCCACCCACCTTTGTGCCTCCCTCCACCTGAAAAGGCGGTGCTTTGTCGTCAGCCCTTGTGACGCATTTGGTATTCCAGCCTGCGTGTGCCAGCTCCCCAGTCTGCGTCACAGCGGCCACAGGAGCCTCTCCAGGCTCTGCTGCTTCCTGGTAGTGAGCAGAGCTCTGACCTGGCTCCCAAGGCACCTGCTCCTTGCTAGGGGAAGCAATGCCAACCCCAGAGGCAGCTCTGCACAAGCCCCCCCCCCCCGACAAGCCTGCTCAGTCCACAGTAGCTCAGGGGTTAAACCAAGACTCCCCTCCCTAGAACCACTTGCCTATGGGAACTAACTTGGAAAAGGGCTGTAGATAATGCAGCCCCTCTGCCCGGCCTTTTCAGCCCAACAGACCCTAGGACCCACTCCAGCATGTGGCCCGAGAGCCCACCAGGGTCTCCTCAGTCTTAGGGGCTTGCGAAGGAAGTCCAGGTTGCAGGGACATGTCTCGCACACACCAGGGTCCCTCATTCGAGATGCAGCCACTCAAAAGGGCCCAGTGATTCTCTTATATCCCAGTGTAACCCAGCATACCCCCCTGTAGCTCCAATCTAACACCTGATCCAAGTAGGACAAGACTATACCCCAGCCACCAATTGACAGAGCTGCCCCCTGAGCCCGAGTGGCAGCAGCTCATGGTTTTAGCATGAAGGGCAGGATCTGGTCCCCAGCAATGCCTCACTGCATCTGGGTGGGGAAGCACTGGGCCAAAGCCTGGGTTCGCCTCAGCAGGAGCCCCTGCAGCAGCCTGGAACTGGGTTCTGGGCACCTACGAGGCACGGGCGCAGCAGGCACAGCTCCCTCGCCAGCCCTCCCCACCGCCTGGCAATGTGCAGGCAGCAAGCTGGGAGTGGGGCTACCCGGGAGAGGACAAGGCTTTCCATAACTCAGGGAGAACTTCCTAGGAAAGGAGGGAAGGGATAGGGGCCCTTGGTGCCCATGCAGCTTCCTAGCCACAGCAAGGGCTTAACACCTGCTGCCAGCCATGCAGAAACTCACAATAAATGTTACCACAGCTCAACGAGCATGGCCACGCAGCCAGCTGGAGGAGGAGCAGGCAGCTGGAATGAGCAAGTAGGCTTCAGAGGCTTGGAAACCTCATTTGGTGCCCAGGATCCTTCCCACAGCAGAGGGGGGACACTGCAAAGAGGAGCACCACCACTGGCCTGGGTAGGAGCCCTGGAGAGAGAGGCTGGTGCTAGGGGGAAAGGTCTAGGGAGCGTGGAAGCTGTAGGGTGACAACAGCCGGGTCCAGGAGGCAGGAGAAGCAACTTCTGTCCAGCAGAGCCCCTACCCTGTCAGTGCTGCTACTAAGTGTGCACTCCCGTTTCTTTTCTCCACCCTTTCTTCTCAGTTCTGCAGAGCACAGCCAAGGCAGCAGGGTGTAGCAGCACAGTGCCCCTACCCAGACGGCAGGGAGCTGTGCAGATCTATGAGCAGTGTGGATCCTGCTGCACACAGGGCACAACAGGCTAAACAGCACAACCTGATTTTCAGAGGGACTGATCATCCCCAGTGGCTCCTGTTGGCAGCCGGTGCTGCGGGTGCCCAGCTTCTCTGGCAACAGGTCCCCATTTGTTTGTCCAAGGCAACAGAATCGCTGGAGCCAGCCCCTAATGACAGAGAAATGGAGCTAAGAGAAAACATGCCTGGATGGGGGTTTGATCCACGGTCTGTGGAAGAGGATACCACGTCTGGAATCAGAGTCATCCTGGTGAACCCCCTCACTGTAATGAACACGTGCCAAGGCTTTGGGCCAGAAAACTATTCTCCTTCTACCATAGACAGATCTAGGATACTGAAAAATGGAAGTGCAGGTAGTCATGTATCATCACATGTAACAACACATTTTTCTCCAGTTAAACAGAAACTAGAAGCTTTACTGAAATGCTAGGGGCCTAGTGCTATATTATTCAGCTTAAGATCAAAGCAAAAACAAATTTAAATTTATTGAAATGTGCACTGCTTTGTTTGATTTTTATATTAAGTTTAAATGCACACGATGTATCAGGCAAAAACAGTCCAAAGATATTGTTTCATTAATCTTGCAGTCATAGTTACATCAGATTTGTAAACCAAAAATCTAGTCCTCTCCAGTGTCTTGATAGTGCCTCCAATACTTCATCTTTCAGCCATTTCTACACCTGAGTTTACTATTACCACAGCCAAGTTAAGGTTTTGAGCTAGAGCTAAAAACATTCTGCAGGGCAGTGAAACAGAAAACAGATTGCCAAGAATGGCTAACAAATAACAAAATTGCAGAAGAAAGGATAGACTGAATAGTGGAATGTCAAGACCATTAAGAAAGAGAGGGTCATTAACACCTGTGGAGGAAAGAGAGATTAGCAGGAATCGGGGAAATGATAATGAGCCAAGTGATTCCCTCGCTGCTACCCGAATACAAATGCCACTGCCAGTTTAGGTGATGCAAAAAAATCAAAGTGTGGCACAACCACATCACTGCACCCCCACCTCCTACCAAGCGATAAACTACAGGCCAAACAAGAGGGCTCTGCAAGTGAAAGGCCACCTCAATGGAACTTACTCCACGGACCCTGCCCGTGGCTCAGTTCTGCATCCCTTGGATCTGGAAAAGGGTCCAACACTTCTATTGCACCAGTTACAGGCAAAGCTGCTCTGCGAACTCCCCAATTATGAAACGGTAACTTCCGCAGCGGATTCTGTTCTGTGTAGCAACATCAGGTTTACAAGAAGGGAACTTCTTATCTACAGTTTAAAAAGTTCCTCGGGGGATAAAACACTTACCTACTTGTGCAACCTGCTCCCAGCTGGTGCTTTACTGCCACGTGCGGGGCTGTGGAGTTCTTATCGTGCTCTACGCCCGAGTGTGCTGACACTGATGACAAAAAAAAAAAAAAAAGAGAGCAGCCCCGAAGATCACAGCTCAGTTGCTCAATTACTGCCTCTTTCAGGATGCTACATGTGACTCAATACAGAGCAATGGAAGGACAGGCAAGGGAAAGGAAGGGAGCAGCTCTTAGAAATTTAGATTCATTGGCACGCTTAAATCATGAATCTAAACAAGAATTCCTGGCTCCAGGGAGACTTCAATTGCAAAAGTAACTCCGGGAAACGTCTGTTAAAAGCCTGTCTGAAACCCTACGCAACTGGGAAGTTTGCAACAGAACAAGCCACTGAAGAGCCCAGTGGTTTTAAAGGACCCTGGGACTGATCTCTTCCCAAGCCCTGGTACTAGGGCAGGGGCAGGCAATTATTTTGGGCAGAGGGCCGCTTACCGAGTTTCAGCAAGCCATCGAGGGCCACGTGACAGGCAGCCAGGGGCAGATAAATATTAATTTTATAAATTTTTAGGGGTCCCGTGGGCCGGACAGAATGGCCTGGCAGGCCGCATCTGGCCCCCAGGCCGCATTTTGCCCACCGTGTACTAGGGAGATCTGGGCAGCCGGCACCGACTGGAAAGAGCCGTTTTTTGCTCGTTTTGAGCAACAGCGTGAGCTCTCTGGCAAAACAGATTTGGCTTCTGAAATGAGCTACTGTCTGGATTGTCCAGACTCTCTGCCTGCTGTTTAAATGGAGCCCACTGTTTTAATCGAGTGACTTTCATGCTCTTGCGGGCCTGCCCACCTCTCCATTTCAACTCAGCCATCAAAATTGGCTTGGAAATTAAGCCTGGCACAAGCTGTTAGGTGGGGAGAAAGCAGGCAGGGCCTGGGAGGGGAAAGAAAGGAATTGCAAGAGACAGAGTCTGGGTTGGTGTGGAGTGAGACTTGCTTTTTGTTTCATCTCATATGCTTTTAAAACACACTTCTCCCAGCTGGCTCTAGGAAGACTTTGCCATTCCTTCTTCCCAGGAAGGGATGCAGCTACTTAGAAAAGGTGGACAAGATGATGCACAGGGAAGCTAATAGCACAGGAAACCACAGCTGCAAAAAGAGGGACAACCAAGATCTTTTCAGCACCAGCTCTGTCAGTGCACATAGAAAAGGGTCCCCTCACAATGCTGGGCCAGAGACACAGCCAAGAAAAAACCCGCAGCACACAGCCAGTCCATCTGGGAGCAAAGGATGCTTTGCATTGCTAAATCCAGCAGCTTTGAAGAGAGGCAGCCCAGTCCCTTGCAAACACGGACCGCATTCCCATGCCCCTGGCAGGGTAGGTTATGCTATACCCCAGCTTAGCAATGAATTAACCAGCAGGCCAGAGACATTTCTGCTCCTTCAGAAAAAGAGCCCAAACGCCCATCAGCTTCCATGGGAGTGAGACGAGACACAGGTATTATTAAAACAACAATAATCAAGCAGCCCCACAGTTGTAGGTGCCTCCATTTTGGGGTATCCAGTCTAGGCCCCTTGCACCTGATTTTCCAAAGCAAGGGTCCCATCGCTCCAGCTAATGGAGCCCAGATGAAGTCCCCGGAAACAGAGGCAATCAAAACCGACAGTCATTTCTAATACAACAGTCCAGGAGATCTGCCCCAGATCACCCACTTCAACACAGGGTCCCCAACTCCACATCCTCTGTGGTCATCACTAGGCACATCCTTCTTTCAAAGCCCAGGCACAGCAGAGCACAAAACAGCAATTAGTACCCAGCAAAGCTTTGCAGTGCCCAGACTCTGAGTGCCTTCTTGACCGTCACTGTGCAAATCCGAGGTCCCTGCAAGTACGTTCTGGGGGGCAAGTGCAGGCAGTGGGCTCCATAGCTCAGGACACCTCTCCCAGCCCTGTGCTCCTCTGACCCCGACATATACCCTTGCAGGTGGCGAAACAAACAGCATATGGGGCCGAACAATCCTTGGATGGTATGCATGGTGGCAGGGCAATATGTTATTATTATTTATTGAGTTTGCTGTGGGCATGAGCAGGTGCGACACTATTAAAGTCAATGGAGCTGCACCTACTTGTACCGGCATTCAATCTGGCCCGCAGCATCCATAAAGCTTTCCATGCGGCAGGAGGGAGGAGAAAACAGAGCAGGTAGGAAGAGTCCGTTGGATGGGCACAATGCAGCCAGACACCAGGCAGCAGCCGCCACTCATGGGCTGCAGCATGTGTAGCATTACAGCTGGAAACACTGCCAGGCACTGGCAGAGACAGCCATGCAGATCTATCTCAGTCCCTGCACCACATCCTACCTGTGTAAACAGATATCTACCTTGCAGCCAGAGGTAGCATAGAGTGTTCATTCACCAGATGAAAGCAACAGTCCAAATCAGTCCCTAATATACTAACCCATTAAGTAGCAGGAACAGAGGCCTGTCCACTCCAGTAGGTGCCCTCCTCCCTGCTCCAGGGAGCACCCAGGGAGGCAGATGCTGGTCTTCATTGGGACAGGGCAGATATTCTGCACACCTGGGGTATGATGCAGATCCCAGTCACTTTCTCTGCTTGATAATATGAAGCATTTCACGAGTCATTTAACTAATGAATTCTCCAGTCAGGAAAGAGCCATTATCCCTGTTTGTGAAGAAGGAAACATGCCCCAGGAAGGTGGGTAGTGACTTGCCCAAGGTCAGACAGGCTGCAGAGCTTGGATTACAACTCAAGAGCTCTCAGAGCCCTGGCCTCCATTCAAACTCAGCATAAATAAAGGAGGACTCTCCTACTAGCTAGCAACTGCTTCTTAATGCAGACTAGGAAGAACGAGGCTGGCAAGCTCAGGCCGCCTTCACTGAAATCTGCTGCACAGTCTCTCCTGTCCAAGGATCCTGAGGGCCAGATCCTGCACTGATCCATCCTGGTGCAGCTCCAAAGGGACTCTGCTGCTGTCATCTGGATTTATGATGGAGTGGGCGAGATCAGACTCAGGCCTCAGGTGCAATAATAGCCTGGAGCCCGGTCTGTGCGCAGATGAGCCTCACTTCCGCCTCTCCCCCATCTCAAAACAGATTCGGCATTATCAGCAGCCTGAAAACCAGATGCCTGCCAGTGCGAGTCTTTTGCCTCCTGCAGGTACTGCCCCCTCCACCTCTGCCAGTGTGTGTGTAACAGGCGCTGCTTTGGTTCGACAGGAGCATTCTCTGGTAACAAGGCTTGGCAAAGGGAAGGCACGATCGGCGCCAGCTTGCAAGCCTGATGTCTTGAGGCAGATGGCAGGGAAAACATCCCAGCCTCGCTCCTCTTCTCCCAGGAAAAAAAAGAATCCTACATGGGAACAAAGGGCTCTGGGAGCTGGATCTCACCCTAAACCCAGCTATATGCCTGGCTCCCCAGCTTGCAGCAGGCTTACTCCCCATGCACCCTGCTTTTCTGCCAGGCTGATACAGGAATGCTTGGAGGTTTTTGCTAGGAGCATTACTCACCCACAGTTAGAGGGGGAGGAAGAGACACTCTCCTGTTTGCAAAAAGGAAAACAAGGTAGGTTTTCAAAATCAGTAGGATGTTGCCAATGCCTAGGCTTGGGGGATGGAGAAAGGGAAGGAGACCCCAGCCAGCTGCTGGAGGGAGAGAGTCGAGGCAGACATTCCTCTTGTCACGGATCCCGACAGTCCCAGTCAGATGGGGACATGCAGTACCTCTGCAAAGGGCTGCATGTACAGGTTGCCTTCTGCCCCCGCCTTGTGCACAGAACATCTGCTCTGCGGCAAGAACCAGCACCTGCTGCTCCCACGGGAGTAGAGGGCTCCACGTGTCTGATCGCATGATGTGTCTGCCCGCCAGGGCAGCCTGGGTCATCCACAGGGGTGGACATGGGTTGTGCCACATCAGGACTCCATCCTGCAAGGCGTGGAGCACCCAGATCCCAGTGAGGACCCTACAGATCTCAAAGGCTCCCTCTTACTCCCCTTCCCCACAACACGGAGGTCAAACCCTCCATGCTGAATCCAAGCCATAGGTAACGAAGGAGCAAAAGAAGCTACTTCCCACACCCGAGCTGCACAGTGCAGAGCCACCCAGACCCCACAAGCAAATGCAGAGCTTGGAGGCCAGGCAGGTGGCAGCCTGTATCACAGGCTTTTCAATATGAACTCTGCTGCCTGGCCCAGAGGCCAGCTGGATCATGCCCATTTCATCCCAAGACCTGCGAAGAATACGGCTGTTCCACACACCATCACGGACCGAGGTGCGGGCGGCTGACTGCAGTGTAAACAACTCGTATCCGGAAACAGCCGCAGTCGGCTGACTCGCAGCTCCCCTAGCCCCATCATTGTACCCCGCCAGCCACTCTCACTGTGGTCTCAGAGCCAAATTAATATCACAAAGAAAAAGCTGGATGCCTCCATGCGAGGAGGCCAGGCAGGAAGTACGGCTCGATTGTTCAGTCTCCGATGAACAACGAGGCACAATGCCACAGATGTTTGGGTTGCACAGACGCCAGAGCCCCTTCCCACCGAAGCCTGGGCATGGGAAATGCAGGCACTGTCAGTTTGTGCGAGAGTCACTGCTTGCAGAACTGCTGGGGTGCAGCAAGCCCAGAGGTACACCCTTTTCCCCGAGCCCAATGACAGGCAGCCCCCTCCCACGTCCCTCTGGCATCTGACCTGTGAGGCCTTCCGAGACCAGCCCCACCAAGACAGAGCAGCAAAGCCAGTCCAACACCCTGCAGCCTCCCTGCTACCCCACAGTGATCTTTAAGGACTGCCAAGTTACGGTTTTTCTCCTGTCCTGAACTAAACAGTAAATGTGCTTTCATTCCCTGCTGCTTGCAACCACAGAAGGCTGCTCCCACAAGCTACATGAAGGTGCTGGGGTCCCCTCATGACCCTCGCAGGCGGGCACCCAACTTGAGAGTGCCCCATCGGCCCTGGTGCCCATCGAGGTCTCAGCCTTCAGTCTGCGCCATTCCACCCCGAGTCGAGATCCCTGGTCTTGAAGTCTGTGGGGGGGACTGGGGAGAACTTCTCCGCAGTGTTACTCAACTATAGTATAGTCTAATATCGAATCAAAAATCAGTCAAGTTCCCCAGGGTCTGAAATGCAAGGACTGCCCTGCTACAGAGACAGAGGACAAAACAAGCCATTATTTGCAGGAGGAGAAAAAACCACACTGACTGCACTCCAGGTCAGCGGGTCTCCAGCTACCCTCCCCACCAGAAAGCACAGCCACCACAGAGGGTTTCCAATGAATGATACTACTGCACTGCTCCAAACACGGTCACCCATTGCTCCCACCACCACCTCCTAAAGGAGTGGTTTGATGGGCAAGGGCACACAGCCACCAACATAGCCCAGGCAGGGAAGGGATTATGGGGTCAAAATGTGGGGCTGGAAAAGCCACAGAGCTCAAGGGCCAGACTCCCTTTCTGGCACCTCCAGGATGGAAGGGAGTTCTGAATAAGACAGCAGTGACCCCATGGTGAA